ATAGTCCATTGGAGAGTTGGTTCCCCAGCCTATTTGGGAGATCTAGAATAGGATTTTGAAGAGCATGCTAAATTGGAGGAGGAGGAGATTGGAAAACATGCAAAGCCCTGGAGTAATGTTTTCTTCTCAGCCTATGTTTCTTAAATGAGACCCCGTACACTGAACCAATTGCAGCTACTTTGTGGCTTCAGTTTTCATTCTCAACTGAAATGTGTGTGGCAGTAGTCAAGTTTATTGGTGACCCTAGAATGCGTAGTGTGTGAGTAAGTCAGAACTTCATAAGGAGGAACATAGTGTCCTGTCTAGCTAGAGATGCGAATAGTGGAGAACTATGCAAAATATCTCTGGCATTTTGCAAAATGTTGATTATTGCATAGATGCCCAAGACAGAGGTCTAGTGTGGGGCTGGGCAAAGTAAGATTTGCAGGCTGGATCCGACCTGGCAAGCCACTGGATCCAGTCCATGAGAACCTTTGCCGGCTCCCTGCCTGCCCCACCCCACCCCTGGTTGGTACTCAGTAAAGCCAGCCATGGACCATGTGTGCGTTGAATGCTAAGAACTGGAGGGGGGGGGGCGGGTAAGAGGCTTCTCATGCTGCCCCTGCCCCCAATAGCTCCCATTGGCCGATTTCTGGCCAATAGCAGCTGCCTGTTTGCAGAACAGGCAGGATGTGAAGTGCCCCTCCCCCTGGCTCACAGTAGCAAACACGGCCCCTGCAGCTGCTCTGAGGATATACAGGGGCGTGGAAAGCAGGGACCCTGGCTAAGGAACCTGCTGGGCTTCTGGTTGGAAACCACTCAGGTAAGGTGTCCCAGCTAGAACTTGCCTCTGACACTCCAGCTTCTCTGTCCTCCAACCTTCTGTCCCCCTTCTGCACCTCTACCCATGTAACCCAGACTTTGTGAAACCCTGCTCCAGCCCCCATACACCTTCCCAGACACCGCTGCACCCCCTCTTGCATCCCTCTTCCCGGTCACAGCACCCTCACAGACTCTTTACCTCACTCCACTGTCCCTGGTCACAACCCAAATCCCTGCACCCCCTCCTACACTCCTGCTCCAGGTTACAACCCCCTCCCAAACCCAGCACTGCTTCCTCCTACACCTCTCCCTTAGGTTAGAATCCTCTCCTGCACCCATACCCATCCCAGACCTGCATCCCAATCTTCTGTTCCAGGTCACAACTCAGATCCCTGCACCTCTACCCTAGCTCACATTCCCCTCCCAGACCCTGAACCCCAATCCACTGCCCTCCACCCAAACTCCCTCCCAGATTCCATACCCCTATTCTTTTCCCTAAGCTCCCTTCTGTATCCAACTACCATGCCAGACCCCTCTATTTCTCCTCTATTAATATAACACTGCTCTACAGCCAAAATGCTTCTGAAATAAATGTAGTCAAACTTAACTAATTCTGGGTCACTGAGAAGGAAAATGATGCTTAAAATTGTTGATTGGCTCTAGTTTTCAAGATATGCTATTGGGTCAGTATTTACGACCCTTGACTTGCGAATGGCGGAGGATAAGTGAGTTATAAAGGGAAGGGATTTAAACCAGAAATGACTAAAATACATCTTTGACTGGATCTATGAATAAATCTATGACTGGGTTTGGACAGTACTTGCTTTTTAGGCAAAACAATGAATGATGCAATCTGAAGCTGGTATTGTGTCATACATTATATGAATTGCATCATGTTATTCCTAGAAGTCATGAATGATGCAATCATAACGAAGCTTATATCACTCTGCTGAACAAATTGCCCTATATCAGCTCTAGAAATCATACAGTGTCTTGCTCTCTTATTTGTCAGTGTTTGATTTTGCAAAGGGACACATTTCTGTTTAGTCAAAGTGAGCAGAGATGCCTCGTACTTGTGTGAACAGTGCAGATAACTTCTGCTATGTTTGTAGTGAAGTGACTTTTGCATCACAAAAGCGCAGTATGACCACTATGGTTAAGAAAGCCTATCACCTGTATTTTGGCTGCAAAATTGGAGATCAGGACAAGAGGTGGGCCCCACACATATGCTGCAACACTTGTGCAACAAATGTTCGCCAGTGGTTGAACAGGAAAAGGAAATCTATGCCTTTTGCAGTGCCAATGATTTGGAGAGAGCCAACTGATCATACCAGCAATTGTTACTTCTGCATGGTGCCTCCAGTTGGGAAAGGTGTGTCAAAGAAGAAAAAGTGGACTGTGCATTATCCAAACATTCCATTAACTATACGCCCAGTACCCCACGGAGAAGGACTGCCGGTTTCTGATGCACCAGAATCATTCTCACTTGAGTCAGATGAGGAAGAGGATGAAAGTTCTGGTCCTGAACCATCAATATCACAGGACCCACATTTTCTCCCATCCTCCTCCTCTGAACCACACCTAATAACACAAGGTGAACTGAATGACCTTGTCAGGGATTTGGAATTACCCAAGAGTAAGGCAGAGCTGTTGGGCTCCAGACTACAGCAGTGGAATCTCCTGGCAGGTGATGTTAGGGTTTCCATGTTCCGTGACCGTCAAAAGGATCTTGTCCCCTTCTTCTTCATGGAAGGTGATCTTGGAGCCTGCAACAACATTGATGGTGTGATGGCAGCCCTCAACATCGTTCATGATCCAGATGAATGGAGACGGTTCATTGATTCATCGAAGACGAGTCTTAAAGCTGTTTTGCTGCATGATGGCAATGTTTTGCCATCAATTCCAGTTGGTTATGCAATCCATATGAAGGAAGCCTATGACAATATGAAATAACTTTTGAGGTGCATAAACTATGACCAACGTCAGTGGTAGCTTTGTGGCGATTTGAAGGTTGTTGCTCTCTTGCTTGGTCTGCAGACTGGATACACAAAGTACTGTTGTTTTCTCCGCGAAAATGGGATAGTCGTGCAAGAGATTCCCACTACATCAAGATAGATTGGCCACTCCGACAGTCATTGGAGCCTGGGAGGAAAAGTGTTCAGCATCCACCACTTGTTGAATCAAGGAAGATTTTGTTACCACCCTTACACATCAAGCTGGGTCTGATGAAGAACTTTGTCAAGGCCACGGACAAAACACAAGCAGCTTTCAAGAACCTCTGTGGAAAATTTCCAAGGTTAAGTGAAGCTAAGATAAAGGAAGGTGTCTTTGTTGGTCCTCAGATTCGTGAATATCTTTTGAGATGATGCATTTGACCATGCACTGCATGGCAAGGAAAAGACGGCATGGAAAGCCTTCCAGTTAGTGGCAATAAATTTTCTTGGAAACATCAAGGCAGACAACACAGGTTATTGGTGGAAAATCTCCTCAAGGCATACAAAAGCCTTGGTTGCAACATGTCACTAAAGATACATATTTTGCGCACTCATCTAGATTTTTTCCACCGAACTGCGGGAGCAGTGAGCAACGAGCACGGCAAGCAATTTCACCAGGACATTGCAACAATGGAGAAACGCTATCAGGGCAAATGGAGCTCATCAATGCTTGCAGACTATTGCTGGACAGTGACAAGAGATGCTCCATTTAATGAATACAAGAGACAAGCCAAGAAGCGCCGAGTAGACACTGAATAGGACTAAACTATGTACATAATAGTTTTTTACCTTTTGTTTCATAATAAATTTTATTTATATAACCCTTTTGCTGATTTTTAGAGTGTTACATAAACAGGACAGGTGAAATAGTATCATGTAAAGCAACCATAAACACATGAAAAGACCTCGGTTTACAATTTATGATTAAAACTCTACTATCTACACAATATACATAGATGTAAAATGTAAAAACTTAAATATCTTGGAAACAGTAGCCAATCAGTTGTTTTAATTGTCATATTTGAATTCAGCACATCCAAATACATAATAAATAGCACATTTTATCTCTGAAGCAGACGACTTCTAAAAAATTGTAGACCAGTGTAATGGAAGCATGCCGGCCCTCGACCCCTTACCACATTTTTGGAGTGTCCCCTCCCCCATCAAAAATATTGCCCACCTCTGCCCTGGTCTAGGGTAATATCTTCAGCTCTTCCATCAGTCCCCTCCTCTGTCTTGGCTTCGTTTTCTTTTAGCCAGCAGTTGATTTCAGTGAGACATGGGTAAAATGGCAATATCTGCATTTGATGTAGAGATGGTGTTGTCTGTGTATTGGTAGCATTAAAGTCCATGTTGTGCCTCAGTCCCCTCTAAAGGGAAGAATTGGTGAGGGAATAGAACTGAGCCTTCCAGGAATCAGTGTTGAGATGAGACTTCATACATGAAATTCCTATTTTGTATAGACCTCTTAAAATGATAATGCTGCTCGAGATTGTACCATATTAAGGTATAATCTCTTCAAGTTTCATAGATTAAGCAATTCTGGGTTACTATTTGATGTCGAATGGAATGCTTCAAAGAAAAGCTCAGTATTCTGCAGGAAATGGAGTTAGATGTCAGCAGGTGGCACCTTGGAACCAGTATGGTGCTGTTGGTTAGAAAGGTGCTTGAACACTAAGCTAATTGGGTTTAGATTTACAAAGGAATTTAGGCCTGTAAAGATGCAGGTAAGTGTTTCTTAGCGGAGTTATAAAAGTACTTGAATTAAGTGTCAAATTCCCATTGCTTAGGCAACAAACACCATGTCCCCTGGATAAAATTAATACATTTTAAGAAACTATTTTTATAGTGTAAAAATCCCTGGTCACTCTTCACAAAAAAGAGTGCTGTAGAAAAAATAATTTTTGTAATTGCAGTCTGCCTTCAAAACTATCCAGCTGTTTCAGTTAAATAAGGCAATACTTACTTTTGGCTTAAAATTTCAGGGAATTGAGGGTGTTGCCTTTCATTGATGGGTCATGAAATCTTATGTCCATGTAAAATCTTCATTTACTTTTATATATAAATTATTACACATATTGTGTTTCTATCAATATAAAGCCCGCCTAGTTGAAAGGCAGTTCAGTAATGTTAGGAATTTTAATAAGTTTTAATTTAAGTTTCTTAAGTTTCTTAAGTAATATAAACATTTTCTTTTTATTTTAGGATTGTGGAATCTTGCTTCTCTTTTTTCCAATCTTTGTTTATTTGTGTTGATGCCCTTTGCTTTCTTCTTTCTGGAATCAGAAGGATTTGCTGGCTTAAAAAAGGTAGGCCAATATATTATTTGTGGAATTATTAATGCATAAATACCACGTCCCAAAATTATAATTACAGAATCATCGGGCAACTCATGATTTTTTTTTACAGTGAGACTGTAAAGGGGAGCATATATAAACTTTTGATTTTACTGCAGTTACATACAAACTGGTACAGTATCAAAATATTCAATGGCTTCTGTACAGCTCAGACCACTCTTATGGGCTAGTTTCTGTGCATATATTTTATTGTAATGAGTTCATTACATAATTTATTAAGTTACTTAGGCTCAGTTTGCACTAAAAAACATTGAGTAGCTAATTCCCCCTTTGGAGCTCACCTTTGCAGGTATGCAACAGCAAGCAGGCATGACTTCCCTTAGGGAGGGATAGCCATACTGCCTGCCCTGCACACACCCTTATAATGGTGGTACATCTGTATAGTATATGTATTGTATAACCCTTACTTCTGTTTGGTATTATTTATTAAATGATTTAAACTGTGCTCAGCATTGTGCAATGTATAATATATAGAGAGTAACTGCCTTGAATAATTTAAGATATAAGCAGTATACATAAAGTGGGAAGGAGATTTCTAGGGTTCTTGTGGCTCTTCTTTGAGTGATGTCCCCATCAGTGCTCAACGGTTAGTGATGGGTCACCCTAGAGCCGCAGATCAGAGCTTTTGCAGTAGTTGTGAGTTGGGCTGCGCGAGAGGCGCCTTGTGCCATTCGTGCCTGGGCACCTCGCGCACGCGTGGCTCAACCCTCCCCCTTCATTTCCTTGCTTACCATCCTTGGTCACAGACGCAGCTCCTCTCTTGTCTTAGGCATTTGTTCTCCTCATGTAGTTAATTAAGGATTTCTCATAGTTTTTCTTCTAGTTGATTGTTCAGCAGTTAGATTTTCGTATTCCAGTTGCCTGTCTACAAAAATTTTTTTTAGTTTTTGAGGGGACTGTGGAACAGTGGTGGCATTATCTGAGGCAAGCTGCCTCATGGTGGGTAGTCTCCCTCCTGTTTTTTCATTCCCCCATTTAAAAAAAAAAAAAAAAAAAGAGAAATCAGAAGATGAGAAGATGACACAAAGAAGAAGGCAGGAAAGATTAACTGCTGCCCAGAAACCTCCTTGGAGGCCCACAACTTCAATGCAATGCTGGCCTTACTGGGGTTTAAAAAGTGTGATGCATGCTGAGACCTCATGCCTGTTTCCAATGGCCACTCGTTGTGTATTTGTTGTCTTGGGGAAGCTCACGTACCCCCAAAATATCAGCATTGTCACAGCCTCACGGCAAGAGCCAGAAAAGATAGGGAGCTTTGGCTCCCCATGATTCCATTTGAAAAGGTCATGCAGCCTTCTGAAGAGTCACAGCCACCTTGACCTCTTGTGGAGGCTGCTAAGAAAAGGGCTGCTTCTTCCTTGCCCCAGAAACTATTGAAGAAGAGAGCCTCCCTTGTAGGAATGTTAAATATCGATTAATTAACTAATCAAATAGTTGATGGGATTTCCATTGACTATTCGATTAGTCAATAAGGACTGGCGCATGTTCTGCCGTTATAATGTACAAGAGCCTCTGTTGGGTCTCTCGTACATTTCAAAGATTGAAGTGCTGTGTGGAGCCCGGGGCCAGCTGGGAACCCTCCACTGACCCCAGGCTCCATGTGGGCACTTCTGCTTTGAAATGTACAAGAGCTCCTTCTGGGGCTCTTGTACATTTCAAAGAGGAAGCGCCACCACTCCCAGGGGGGGGGAGCGGGGGGGGGGAGGGGAAACAGGCTTTTAAGCTGGCTCCCCCCAGCACTCTCCCCCCTCCCCCCGCCCCCGCTTGCTGCCTCTGTGTGATAGAGGAAGCAAGGGGTCTGGAAAGCGATTAATTGATTAGTTGCTTACATCCCTATTCCCTGGTGAGATCTCTTCCTCCCACCCCATCTCCTAAAGTAAGTAAAGGAGATGAACCCTGCACCTTTGGTACTGCAGTGCTGAGACCATCCACCGGTACCACTTCTGCCACTTCCCTTAACATTTTGGTGCCGACCCAGTCTTCCTCTGCACCAGATAGGTCCTATTGGGAAGCCTCGGCACGAGAGCCAACATCAATCCAAGATCTGGCGCCAACAAAAATCTCTGCACCGGCACCTAAACAGCCACTCTGCAGACGATCAGTGACGTCTTCCACTGTATCAGCATCGGCCTCAATGCTGCCTCCCTCAGGAGCCCAGGCGCCAGGGGAAGACGTTCCCCATGATGATTGCTCAGCACTACCGGGACCCTTTTATGTACTATCAGCACGGGACAGGAATGGCAGACAATATGTTTCTCTCCCTCCATCTAGGGAACCGTCTCTGTGGCATTTTCACTCTATATTTCCCCATACTATGTGAGGTCTACAGTACTGTCTGAGCACACTGGATTTGGGGAAGAGGACCAAAGAGTGTTTTTTCATCTCAATATTCCTCCCCTACTACATCTTGTTACAACTAATCCCACCCTGAGGCCCTGACTGGTCTAGTGGTGTGGGTGTGTGTGTATGCAAAGTCTCCTCCCCCCATCGCGCGCATGGCACCAGACGGAATCACCAGTTGTTCAAAACTGCTGATGGCTCCTTCTAAAACTCCTCCCTGGCATCGTGGGGGCAGGGACTGAGAGATTTTTGCATGCTCCCTGCCCTTCATGAGAGCACATGAAATCTCCCTCACCCCCCACACACCTTGGGGCACGCAGTGTGTAGAGGGAACCACCCCTTCTGCCTAGGCCCAGCCCCTTCCGGGCTTGGAGTTGGCTGGGAACGATTGTCAAAATTGGTGAGGTGGCCCCCCCTTACAAATATTATTGCCCACCCTGTTATAATTAATTAGCTATACTGCTTGTTCATGTCAGCTCCAATAACTTGTGTGCATGTTGCATGCACAGCTGTTGGAAAACTTTCCCTCAACTGCTCCTGTCAGGTTGGCTGTGGAGCCCCCTGGAGTGGCACCTTCATAGGATATAGGTTCCTGTTATCTGGTGCCTCCTCAGTTCCTTCTTGCCACCAGTGACAGTTGCTGGAACTGCGGTCGCTTGTCTGGCTGTTGACAAGCCAAAAGGGGAGGACCGTGATAAGGTATGTGGTTGTGATGGGTCGTCTGCCATACCCTGGCCCTATAAGGGTTAAAACCCAGCCTGGGAGAGGGCTGGAGTGGTGTGGCTGTGGAGCCAGTAAATGTGGTAGATGGAGCATTTTAGGGCCCTGCTGAGGGCAGTATAAATAGAGGCTCCTAGAGGGATGTTGAGAGACTCACTCTTGCTCCAGTGGTGGAGCAGGAAGGACTTAACTGCCAGGGAAGCTAGAGACTTCCTGACCCAGAGCGGAGCTGGGGAAGCTCTGGCCAGGCAAGCTCCTTGGCTGCAGGGTCTGAAGCAAGGCCTCAGGTTATTAAAGCTGCGGGGGGAAAGGGGGGGTTGCCAAGGTAAGCAAAGGGAGCAGGTCCACACCCTTCTGCCAATGAGGAGTGGCCATTTCAGACTGCAGTTTGCCTCCGTGGTAGGGACTAGATGACGACTGGTAGTGAGTCACTAAGGAAAGTGGGTTTGGGGGTTCCCTGGGAGGGAGGACCCCAGCATGTGGGGGCAGTGCAGCAGGTCAGTACCCAGGAGGGGAGGACACCATTGTCTGGGAGGGATGCGGGTCCTAACATAAAGTGGTAGAGGATAAAAGTTAGCAGCAGGCAAGACATTGGCCTGAAAGGGGTGCTCCAGGGTTGAAGAGCTAATTCCCAGAGCAAGAGTCCAGCAAGAGGTGCCATGATGGTGAGGCCTGCCGTGTTACTGTGGTCAATCACAAAATATAGTTATTCGGCCTGTAAATGATGCCTATGTCAAAGTAAAACAAAAGACAGGACTATGCAGCACTTTAAAGACTGACAAGATGGTTTATTAGGTGATGAGTTTTCGTGGGCCAGACCCACTTCCTCAGTAATAGTATTACTATTACTATGTCAAAGTATGCATTTTTCATCCAAAAAGCGGCATGCCTGTTTCTCAGATTCACAGAATAGATAACTGTACTCAGAGACCTTGTGAACTTCAACTTTACCATGAACTTGTTGAGTCATTGCAGAGGTATGTAGTCTAGACATACTCACCGTGTGCTCTCACCCAGCATGCTAGAGATGATGCAGCCTTTGGCACAGTGGTGCTGCAAATAGCAAACCCACGAGCTCTGACCCTGCCTCTTAAGTTCCTGCTTGGGAGTCATCTGCTTGGGAATCTACATGAGGAAGCTCTCAAAGAAGAAAAAACAGTTACTTACCATTCATAGCTATTGTTCTTTGAGCTGTGTTGCTCACGTCCCTTCTAAGACTGAACCACCTACCCCTTTGTTGGAGCAGTGCTGGCAAGAAGGAACTGAAGTGGTGGTGGGTCATCAGGGTTCTGTGTACTGCGCCATTGAGGTGTGACTCCAGGGGACACCTGAGCTAACCAGACAGGTATTAATAGGAGAAAAAACTTCTAGCTACTATGCAAAGTGTGTGCACACACACAACTAATCAGAATGGACTTGAGTGACACATCTCAAAGAACAACAGTTACAGAATAAATAACTGTTTTTTATTTACTCAGACATATAGTAGTACTAAATGTATTTTGTCCTCATTTAGTTAACTTTGAACGTTTTGTTCTGTTGGATTTAGTTTTGTGATTGTGTACTGGTATGTTAGCCTTTAACATATGTGGCAACAACAGCCATGTTGTCTCTGTACATGCTTTTGTGCTGAAATAGGATTTTTATGTGTGTGTTTGAACACTGAGGGTTTTCCTTTGGTTGATGTTACATTGCAAGTTGTGGCATAGCCCATAGCTAGCGAGTTGGTTGGCACTATTCGTATGATGAATAATTTTCCTATTTAATATTTTGTTACAGAAACCTTTACAATCTTTTTCAGTTTAAATCACATTGATACAGATTGGTTTATTTTTTAACCCTCCCCTCCTCCCTCCAAATTACTGTGGCTTTTTTCCTCCCTAAGTGTATCT